TATCATATCCTATATCTGTATAGCATTTTAGAGCTTACAGGATTCCTCAATGCTTTATCTCTCTGAACACATGAAGTGTTGGGAGATGTAAGAAACAAGTTTAGTTGATAGAATCTCTGCTCTTTGGAGAAAGAAGCCTAAAAGCTTATTGAAAACCATGATTTTATTTTTCTCACATTGATGTGAGTGGTTTTTCCCTTTGTTTATGGACTGATTTTTACTCACAAGGCTATATTTCAACGTTCCCTTGAAGACAAGAACATTCTTTGGCATAATTCAGACAATCACAGGAGAAATATAGGACAATTTGATCCTGCTGAAATATTTCATTCTTTATAGACACACATTCATTCCTCACATAGAGAATGACCATCAGTCTCAGCAAAATTAGCAAATTTGCTTGCGTTGATGTAACCTTACTTATTTAATGGTTGGTGTGTCGCCCGGGGTATAATCAAGACGGAAGATACTTACTGGCTCCTGTGTCACAGAAGAGCTTGGATGATCAATGCCTAACATTGGCTAAATCATAAGGTGACTTTGACAGGCAGAGAGACAGAATTTTTCACTTTTAAGTGTCTCTCTACAGAATAATATTGTATAACAACAACAACAATAATGTTTCTCCAAAGACTCCACACACAACTGGGTACCTTCCTTGAACACAGAAGGTAATCTGTGCTCACCCTCCACTATAATTAGACTGTTTTCAGTTTAATTTTATCCATAACCCTCCTATGTAACATCGATCCCTATGGTAGTCATTACTCATGCTCACCATAGAAAGATTTCTACTTTCTTATTCCTTCTGAGTATAAACCCCCTTAAAGTTAGGTAATGACCATGTGACTTCCTTTGATGAGTGAAATGTGAGAAGTGATCTGTGTAACTCCCGGGTGAAAGCATTTAAGGTTTGGTGTGCAGTTTTCCTTACTCTCTTGCCTTGCCATGGCGCTCATGGAGAGATCACAAGAACAAAGAGGCTAGAATGATGAGTCCGTGAGAGCTGCCCTGGAGATTTTGCGTGAGCAGGAAATTAAAATTTGTTGTATTAAGGCACTGATATTTGGGTGGTTTTTTTACTGCAGCATAAGCTAGCCTACCCTGAACGATGGAGTCTCTCACTAGCTCAATTCACACTGCTCACCATTTATACAGCAGCCCACAGCTGCATACATGGCTGTTATGCCAGTAAGTTGTGTTTATACGTGAGTGGGCCCCAGTCACTGCTGAAGGCAGTCTCACAGAAATATCTGGGATAGGATATTTCCACAAGGGAAAGGAAGGAAGGTAGGATAATCATACTGTGTGTCCTTCACCCTTGCCAGGTCCCTGAATTAGCACTGAGTGCTTCCCAATGCAATGCACCATCTTGATTTATTACCAAGGAGGTATCAGTTTTATGGGAGGAGGATGGAGTTTAATTTAGAACACACTGAAACTTCTAGGCTAGTGGGAAATTCAGTGGAAATGCCTAGCAGGTAATTGGTAATGCAGAAATGGGGCTTGGAAACAGGTTAAGAATGTAGGTATAGATTTAGAAGTAATCTCCACACACTTGCAAGTTGATCGTAAGACATGGATAAAATTTCCAAGGGAAATGGCAGAAAGTGAGAAAAATAAAAAGCCAAGAAATGAGTCTCAGGAAACACTCACATTTGGGGGGCAGAAGAGAAGCAAGGAAGGGTGATATGAGAACTATGATGACAATACCCATTCATTTTGAGAGCTAAGAATACCATATCTTCATTAATAAATTCATTTAAATTTAAATTTCAAGGTTTTTAATGAGGATAAAAAATGTACTACTCCTTCACAATCCATTTACTCTCTCAGATATTAAAATAGATTACCCATCCGACAGGCAGCTGGATATTATCTGTACTAAAAAGCAAAATGATTTTTTAATTCAATGTCCCAGAACTAATTTATCAAGATTTAAAGTTTTGCAGAAGAAACAGAACTTTTAAACTCATATGGTTTGCTCTGCATTACAGTCATTCAGCTCTTCAACAAACTTAGTCTACACATCTGGCCCATGCGAGGCACTACGGGGGGGGGGGCAGTTGTCCTTCTTTGGCAGACTGCCTCATCCCCTGCGCCCATTTCATGCACTGCTCCCCCTGCCGGTGTGTTGGGCTTTATGCCAGCTTTGCTCCTGCAAGGATGACCCCATGAGTTATAATTAGCTAACATTTTCTAAACCCGAAGTCTGTGTGTCAGGCACTACACTAGGTTTTTTTTGTTTTTTGTTTTGTCTTGTGAGGGAGATCAGCCCTGAGCTAACATCCATGCTAATCCTCCTCTTTTTTTTTTTTTTTTTTTTGCTGAGGAAGACCGGCTCTGAGCTAACATCTATTGCCAATCCTCCTTTTTTTCCCCGAAGCCCCAGTAGATAGTTGTATGTCATAGTTGCACATCCTTCTAGTTGCTGTATGTGGGATGCAGCCTCAGCATGGCCGGACAAGCAGTGCGTGGGTGCGCACCCGGGATCCGAACACAGGCCGCCAGTAGCCAGCGCGCGCACTTAAGCGCTAAGCCACCGGCCTGGCCCTACACTAGGTTTTTTATACAAGCTTTCTCACTTAATCTTCAAGATTCAGGTGGATATTAGTTATCATCCCTATTTTATACCTTGGGAGGCTTAAACGTTAAGAATCTTGCCTAAGGCCACACAGCTGTTTAAGTGATGCTGTCAGGACTCAAAATAGGCTAGCCAATGCCATAGTGGGTGCTCTGAGCCTTGCTACTAAAAGTGTGGTCCTCAAACCAGCAGCGCTGACATTACCTGCGAGTTTGCTAGAAATGCAGCAGCTCAGGTCCAACCCCAGACCTAGGCAATTAGAATTTGGTTTTAAAACAAGGCCCCCAGGTGATCCCTCTGCACACTAAAGTTTGGGAAGCACTGTGCTAAGTCACGCCACTATGCAGACTTCATTTTAATGGATGCTGGGGAGATGGAGCTAATCTTTCCCCTGAGTTGCAATTTGGGGGGAAAAGGTCTGTTTGTGTTCTCCAAGGGCAAAAGGAAGGATTCAGATAACAGGTTCCTGCAGTTTCAAACACTGGAGATCAGCAAGGGTCGGGACTACTTCCAAAAGCAGCAGATCCTGAGCTGAAGCTTGAAGCCAGGCAATTTTCTCAATTCATTTCATTAAAAACGGGTGCTGTTCCAAATGGACAAGTGCCCACATCAATAATCTGGAATTTGCTTCTCCAGCCTGGATTCCATTTCCCAAATAGAATCCAAATATCAACAGCACCAAAAAGCAGATTTAAAAGCTTAATAAAACTTGCTATTATTGCATTGTTAATTATATTGTTCGGCTTAGAATTACCTAGTGTAATTAATAACGCTCATGACAAAACTAGTTGGCCCCCCATTATTAATTGTTCTCCAGGAATGAGTACAAACGCTTGGTGTAAAAAGCAGGTGCACGCGGTTGGTGTGAAGACCCCCAGCCCAGCTCTTTTTACCGGCTGGCACTTTATTTCGGGTCACCAACTCACCCTGGCTTCCTAGGGCCCTAAGCAGCTTGCCACCTTCCAACTGACCCGCCGGCAGGTCACTCCGGACCTGCCCAGACCTCTCCTCAGCTGGGGTCCCCACCTGCACCCCCCACCCCCGGGAAGGGGTGGCGCTGGCCCGGCTTTCGGGGGTGGATTCGCGGAGCGGCCTCAGTGGCAGATGACGAGTCACGTGTGGCGGTGGGGGCGGAGCGGGGCGGGCCGGGTGGGTGGAGAAAACAAAGCCCCCAGCTGTCAGTAGAGGAAGGAGGCGGCAGCGCCGGAGCAGGTGAGTCAAGTGCATTTAAAGCGGTACCGCCCTGGCGCATCCCCACACCCCCTGCCCTGGCGCAGTCCCTCCCAGGCCGAGCCCTGGCCGCGCCTCCTCCCGCCGCCGGGGGGCTGCAGCCTGCCGGTCGCGGAACGAGCGAGACCGGGGGTCTCTGAGCCCAGCAAAAAGTTGTGCAGCGGTCGGCGCCGCGGCCGCGGCGTGTGCACCCCCTGCGCTCCTGCGGGGCCTCATCTCTCCTTCGGGGCCCCAGTGCTGCGCACCCCGGGAAAGGGGAGGGAGTCGGGGCTGCCACGCTGGCGGAAGCAAAGTGCACTGGCTCGGGAGGTGAGGACTGTCCGGGACCCGGACACTTGGCGCTGGTGAAGAAGGGGGTCTCGCGGGTGCGCGCCCGCAGCGCACGGAGCTAGAGGAGCCAGAGTTGGGGCTCCGGGACTCAGAACTGGGGGCGCCGGCAGGGGCTGTGCGCTTCGGGGCAGACCAGGAAGTGCAGCGCTCCGCCGCCCGCCGGTTGGGGAGCAAACCCTGGACCCCGGCCCTGCCGCCGTCCCCGTGCTTCCCCTCCGGCGGAGATGAGCCCACCTCTCCCTCCTGCGACAACGGCTTCTGCTCGTGTTCCTGACGCCTGGGACTCGGGAGCTAGGCCGGTGGAAAAGAGAGCGGGTTGTTATTCTGAGCCCAAGTGGTTCTGCAGGGAGCACCCTGCGCGCAGGGCCAGGGCTACTCAGCGACTCCCCACTGTGCTGCTATAGGCAATTCTTCAGCCCACCCTTAGAAAGGCTGCGCCGAGGCCAGAAATCCCACCAAGGGCCAGAAGGAGGGGTGCGCACAGAAAGACTCTCCCCTCTGAACCCGGAGCGCTCGGTAATGTGGACTCTCAGGCCTCGAAAGGGCTAGTGGATTTGGGCACCCCTTGAGTCACTTTGCCAGTCCTGTGCCAAGGGCCGCTCAGCGCAAAGGGCAGGGCTGTAACCTCAGAGGAGGGGGCGCTGGAGCCATTTGATCAGGAGGAGCCTTTGTCTTAACCCCCAGTCCCCTTCTGCTAGTCCTCGCTGGGTCAGTAGCGCGTGGAGTAATTAATATTCCGAACATTAGCCGTCCTTTCGCTTCGGCACCAGCCAACACTGCTGTCCCCTCCCTGCGGGTTTTCTCCATCACTTGCTCACGTTCTCTCCTCCAAAAACATGGAACGTCGTCCGGACCCACTAGGCAAGTGGAGGTCCCTAAACGCACCATAATGCAGTCAGGTAAAATCAAGGGTTAAGTGTTCAAACCTACCCCCGCCCGCCGCCCGCAAGGAGACGGAAGAACTTTTTTGATTAGCATAGTATCTGCCCTCGGGCCGCTCTGTGAGTCGGCGGTTCGGTCCCAGCCGGGGTGAAGCGTGCACTCCAGTCTTGGTTGAGGTTTGACGCAGCACCTGCTTCTAATCTGAGAGGAACAGAGGCTTACAACTTTGCCGAACAAGACACTGTGGAATGAAACAGAACAGAAATCAAAAGGTAAACCGAAAGAATAGCAACATTTGAGACTCTTCCCTTGGACTATTTAGCAAGCAAAGGGGGGGATGGTCCTTGTCTAGCCAATGTCTCTTCTGGAAATGCCCCCTTGCTTTTCTAGCGTTCTTTGCTGCCTAACTAGTTAAGGTATCAGTTAGAGGCTATGTGTCAGTAGATCTCCAAGATAGGAGGTTAGGAGCCCACCGAGTGGTCGTTAGGTAAGCTTAACTAGTGGGTTTCATTTGCGTGGAAAGAGCGATGCTTCTCCAATGCAAAGGTTCCTAAACTTTGCCGCCTGTTATTAGAATCACCTGGGGAGCTTTGAAAAATCCTGATGTCTATGTCTCGTCCCAACCCGTTTAAATCAGACTGTTTGGAGATGAGAGCCAGGCATCTTTTTTTTTTTTTTTTTTTTTTTGAATGATATGCTAAATTATACTTTTTCCAGCTCAGTAAGTTTTTAGCATTAGAAAGAGATGCAATCTTTTTTTTTTTTTTTTTTTTTTAATCTCCAGGTGATTCCATTGGGCAGCGAAGTTTGAGAGCTGACGCAAACGAAGAGTTCGGTGGCCAGCAGCTGCAGGCGTAGCAAGACAAGATGCCAGTTTAACTACTCGGGTGGGTGGGGGGAAAAGACGCTGAAACTGGGGTGCCGCTGACGAAAGCCCGAGGGCAGGGGCCTGTCATCTGGCAGCTTGGCTGTCCTTGACACCTGCCACATCATTTCTCACCCTCTCTGCCTAGGGTCTGCTTCTTATTGGAAAGATCGAAGTTCACTGTCAGTGCCTGGTTTCTGCACGGTTGTTAAGGAGACGGGTAGCAACTTTCATCCCTGTGATGACTCACCAGTAGCAGGCAGTGGGGACACCCAGCAGAAACTAACTCGGAGCAGCCTGGTGAGTCAGCAGACTGCACTCCAAGGCGGCGCCCCGGGAATAAGAAGTAATTACATCGAGTAGCTTATTGACGCGCACTGTTTTACGCTTTAAAAAGATATTTGAATATCTGATCAGGATCTGTTTCCTTGTGGGAGCCGCTCCCTTTTCCAGCGCCCTAGTCTACCTGCTTCATATAATGCTCTCTCCTATTAGAAAGGGAATATAAAGCCAACTAGACATCTTGTAATTTCCTTAGTGGGAGGCACATAAAAAAAAAAAATGCTGGAAAAGTGTGAACTGGTTTGGGTTATTTCAATAATGCGATGTGGAGAGGATGAATTTGCAGTACATAAATTTTGAATACAAATTTTGATTACACATTCAGGGTGGATTAAAGGACCAGTTTAAATAGAAACGGCTACACCTAACATTTTACATGAAATTTAGTTTGCTATTAACCAAAGGTTTCTTGCTTTAAAGAAAACCATCCCCAAGACATGGCCCTAATAAGATAACCTCCTTAAAGATGTACACAGTTTATTAAATAAACTTACTTTTCTTATTTTTATTACTATTATCTTAAATTTTTATACTTCTCCTTCATTATTCTTTGTATCCCCATAGCTCTCTCTACCGTTGTCTAAATGCTTTCTTCCCCATTCTCAGTATCTTTAAGGGGGGACAACAGTGCCTGGCACATAGCAAGCATTCAATATCATCAGCTATTGTACTTTGTTAGAACCTCTCGTCGCCCCTATGTACCCTGCTTGGTATTCTATTATCTCTTAGGGGCCTTTATGTCACAGCCCCCATAGCACAGAGCACAAGGCCTTTGGTGTTGTCGATGCTACTTGTTTGTACTGAGTGTTATCAGAAGATGGGGAGAACATTGGTAAGCAAAGCATCCTGAGTACATTCAGTTTTGTTATTTTCCAAAACAGACATTATGGATATGTAGGAGCCAAAGTTCTGTTATAATTCTTAATTGCTGTAAAAGCGTAGCTCATTTGTTGACTTACGTTTTTATGCAAAACAATTTAACATTCTGAATGTAACTAATATTTGTTATAATACTTAACCACATTCTCATGGGTCGAAGATTCACTTCACAAAATTTCGCTCTCTACCCATTATGGAAAAAACACATATTCAACTATGTGGATGCCTAAAGGAATTCATTCAGCTAGGAGAGTTATTTCAGAGTAGGACAAATGCCAGGTTAAGAGTTAAACAGCTTTTATTGTCATCTGCCTGTACTAAAAATAGCACAAGTACATTTAAATAGCCAACATATTTAAAAATGGGAAGTTGGATGTATTCTTTGACAGATATCACCAAAAATAAGTGTTAAGAATTTCCAAAGGCCAAAATGATGTAAATGAACCTATTCTTATTTCTGTGTAGCTTAGAAAAGGCACTGGGGTTGTGCTTCTGAAATTCCAACCCCTTTTTTGGGAGGCGGTAAGATGTTGAAAGGCTGAAAGCTAGTCTAGAAAAATGGGACTAATCCAGATTAATCAGAGGATGGTATAAACCACCTCTGTAATATTTATAATTAGGCCAAAAAGGGTGAGGTAGAAAGAAAGGATGTCATCCAATTTTAGAAGCTCTGAAGTTCTTGAGAACCACCCAGTCTTATTACCTTAAATTTATAGAGCCCTTTGGTCTTATTAATGTATCAGGGCTTAAATATAATGGGGTAGATAGTATTCCCATGTGACAAATAGCAAAAGTAAGTCCAAAAATTAAATGATCTTCCAAAGCGGAGAGAAACCGTAAGTACTAACTCCTTTTCCAGTGGCTATTATATCATACTGCTGTTTCTTGAATAGGTTTTGATGTAATCCTGCCTGGAGGTTTCGGCTAGACAATCCCACTTCTAATTATTTCCTCCCTCCTCAAAATAGGGGAAACTATTCACATACATCATACTGTCACTGACTTTATTCTTCAATAATCAACCTTTGGACCAGGCCAACCCAAAACAATCTGAGCCATCATTACCATCTTATCCAGATAACAAAAGTAAGAGGTTTAAAATCTTTGCCTAAATCATAGAAGCATAAACTCTCTTGTTTTAAGGGCCCTTAAAACATACCATCCAACATGTTGGTTAGTCATACCATTCAACAAAAGCTTAAATGCCCTGTACAGCATCTTTACTAAATAGTCCTCAAACTTATGCTTAAATGTCTCCCTCACAGCACATGTCAAGCATGGGAGGCTCTCTGCAGCATTCACCTACTGGAGACCACAAACAATAAGTCTAACTCTCTTACATATTCACCTGCAACCATCCTAAACATTTAAAGTGAATTTATTCTCCGTAATCAGGAAAATCTGTCTACAGTATTTCAAATCTATTAATTGCACAAAATTTTTGCTCCAAATTGCAACCATAAATTTCAAGAGAAGTGCTCAAAATTGTGGTTTGTTACCCCAGGGCCTTACAGAATACAATTATTGGTAAATTTGCTTCCAACAAACCTAATAATCTACACAGTTCAAAAATGACTACTGACAAACTTTGTACAATGGCATTAAGCTTCTGTTGAGTTGAAACCCACGACTCCATCTGTCTCAGGGATCAGCAAACTGTGGCCCACTGTCTGTGTATGGCTTGTGAGCTAAGATTGGTTTTTGTATTTTTTAATGGTTGAAAACGTATCAAAAGAAGAAAAATATTTGAGGATCCTTTAAAATTATATGAAATTCAAATTTCTGTGTCCAAAAGTTTTATTGGACTACAGCCATACTTATTTGCTTACATCTTGTCTATGGCTGCTTTTGTGCTACTGCAGCAGAGTGCAATAGTTGCACTGAAAATCACATGGGCCATAAAGCCTAAAATATTTACTGAATATTTACAGACAAGGTTTGCAGATCCTTGATTTTTTCCAGTTCAACATACTTAAGTTTTAAATGAGAATTTGCTCACTTAAAGCCTTAGTCTTTTTTCAGTTTTTTTCCCTTTAGAGAAGGGAAAAAATTTGTTTCCAAGCATAGGTCAATAATCACTAAAGATAGTTTAGTTCCATATCCCCTTTTGCAAAAGCAGTACAATTCTAAATAATATATGAATTTTAGTGATATGGTCAACCATAAAACTTATGAACCTAAATAAGCCCAAACAGTGCAGTACTAACTTACATTGAGCTACATCACTGTTTCCAGAGTTCTAGAAAATGGGAAAACACTGGCTGTCATAGACTTCATAGACAAAATATATTGTGGCTGTCATAGACTTCATAGACAAAATATATTGTGGAAACTTGCTGCTTTTGGATATAGCACTACTCTTCTAAAGTATACATTTAAGGTAAATTGCTGGCTACTTACAAAGGCAATGATCATTAAATAATAAGCAGATATACATATACTCACTCACATTACTAAAGGTTGACATAATACCATGGAGAATTTAGTTTGAAATTTCCAAATTCAAAAATAGATCAATTTATGATCCAGAAATTCAAATTATTTGCCTTCTGCCCAAGACTGAACAGATTCCAATTAAGATTCTAGAAAGACTATTTGAAAGAACAATAACTACATTGATAGGAACTCGTCTTAATTTTTTACTGTGTTGCCTTTCATAAAATTTCCTTCAGTTAAGAGAACTTCCTCTTTTTGATGACTTGTGAATACCACAGACCGTTTGCAAATGAGTTTCACTTAGATAAACGAAGCAACTTTAAGTGTTATATATAACTGGTGTCCTCCTCATCCTTTCCAGAATCAGTACACCTACAATTTAGAGACCAAAAAAAAAGAGGGGTTCCTTTCTCACTAAATCAAACAATGCCGTATAAATAATGTGAAGTTTGAGGTACCTGAGATCAACTAAATCATTTCTAAAGACAAACAAAAAAAATTGTTAGTGTATTTAATCCCATCCTAGGGCTATTGGTAGTAATGCTATGTAGATAACTCCCAAGGTAACTTAACCCACTATTGCTCCTGATAGAGTAATTGGGGAGGGAGAGACGGGGGGACAACTGAAGACAGATTGTATAACTCCTCTGCTGGCTGGGTGAGGAACCAGTTTAAGTGAAATTAACTTTCCTCCCTTATAATTTAGACTTCACATTTTTACTAAATACATTTTGGTTAATATAGCTTATG